AGGAGGTAGTTTGGAGGGATCACTGTGCTTACCTGGGCTGCGAGACGTGGCGGCTCTCCAGAGCAGCTTCACGCGGGGGTCGGAGTTGGCTGGGGAATACGCGGGTGTGTGTAAGGTGTGAGGATGGGAGACGTGGAATACAAAACAGAGGGAGAGAAGCCTCTTTGGATCCAGTCTCCTATCTGCCTCTAATCGCTGGGTCACTTCTGGCAAGTTACAGCATCAGTGGCTGCTTATGCGCCAGGAGTGATAACAAAAATAACCTTTTCCAGGAGTCCCCACGCTCCTTTAATTTCCCTCGGTGCGGTGGGTGTCACTCAGCTGCGGAGCAAGAGCAAACTGGCAAGGGCGTGCCGTAAACTCTGGCAGGTTTGAGGGCTTTCACCCTGTTTTTTTCCAAGAGCAGCAGAGAAATGGTCTGAAGAAGGATCAGACAGTGAGTTTTAACGTCCTCCGGTCATGCTGGGGCCGCAGGAGCAGTGCCTGTGCGTGGATGTGTCGGAGCCGGAAGGGAGCTGTGTTTTCCTTCTGATTTAATCACACTGATTACTCGCTCCGGTCTAACAGGGCTTTTTTTTTTCTCTGTGAAGACACAACCTTTATCTCGAAGAGGGTGTTAAAGTGTCAGCCAGTGTTGTGCAGCCTGGCCTGGTACAGCGGCGTCTCCTGCTCGCAGCCGAGGCTCTTTTTTTTTCCTGGCAGTTTGGTGAAACTGAATCTTGGGAATTTTGCAGAGGGCTGAAGGCCCCCTCAGCTATTGAAATTTGGATTTTCTTTGCTCTCCAGTAGCCAGGGGACACCCTATTTCATTGTGCCATTTTGCTGCTGTTTCCCCCCCTGTAACGTTACGCCTCTTATAGAATCATAGAATCACAGAATGGTTTGGGTTGGAAAGGACCTTAAAGATCATCCAGTTCCAACCCCCCTGCCATGGGCAGGGACACCTTCCACTAGACCAGGTTGCTCCAAGCCTCATCCAGCCTGGCCTTGGCCACTTCCAGGGATGGGGCATCCACAGCTTCTTTGGGCAACCTGTCCCAGTGCCTCACCACCCGCTCTGTGAAGAATTTCTTCCTGACATCTAATCTAACCCTCCCTGATTTCAATTTGTACCCATTCCCCCTTGTCCTATCACTACAGGCTCTTGTAAAAAGTCCTCTCCCAGTCCCCTTGTAGGCCCCCTTCAGATACTGGAAAGCTGCAATGAGGTCTCCTCGGAGCCTCCTCGTCTCCAGGCTGAACAAGCCCAATTCTTGCAGCCTTTCATCATAGGAGAGGTGCTCCAGCCCTCTGATCATCTCCGTGGCCTCTTGTGCAAGAAGTACACAATCCCTTTTTGAGGAGGCAATACCATCTACCTGAACTCAGCCTGCCAGGGGAGCGTGTTATTAAGGCCAAGATTTACCGGCTTCCACCCCAAAATTGTTACTCAGAACACCTGGAGACGCTGTCTTCCTCCTGTGAGCTGGGCTTCTTCCTCGCTCCCCCCTGGAAGTCTGGGAATGCTGCTGCTGTGGGAGCAGATAGATCATTTAAGCCCCTGAGGTTGTTTTCTTGCCACAGGCTCCTGCAAATGTTGGAAGGGCGTGAGACACGTTCTGCTAACAGCAGCGACGTACTGGAAGCCCTGGGGAGACTGCGAGCAGCCCCTCACTGGGAGAGGGGAGATGCTTGCGAGATTTCAGGAAATTCTTCCCGGAGAGGGTGGGGAGGCACTGGGACAGGTTGCCCAGAGAAACTGTGGATGCCCCATCCCTGGGAGTGTCCAAGGCCAGGCTGGATGAGGCTTGGAGCAACATGGTCTAGTGGAAGGTGTCCCTGCCCATGGCAAGGGGGTTGGAACTGGATGAGCTTTAAGGGCCCTTCCAACCCAAATTGGTCTGTGGTTCCACGGTTCTATGATTTGTGGCTGGTTTTCTCTCTTTAGCTGGTTTGGGGGGGATTTCTTGCACAATTTGGGAGCCAGGTGGCCGTTTGGAAGACTGCACATCAGACTCCAAGCAATCGTGACTTTGTTTGAGGAGTTTTGATTGACGAGTTTCTTCATTTAGGACATTTAAGCTTGGATTTTGTGGGTCTTCTGTTTTGAAGTTGCCTCGGGTTACATTTTCAAGTTTTTCCTGATAATTCCAAACAGGAATCAGAGCATCCCCCGTGGGATCGTCCTCTGTGGCCCTGCTGGGTCTTTTGTTTGTTCTGGGGGTGGCTGGATGTTGGTGATAGAAACCGCCTGGCACCTCAGAGATGGGTTGTGCTTCGTGGGGGTTGGTTTTTACCCAGCCCTAGGCAGTAAATCTCGGGAATGGAGGCTTCTTTCCCCGTGCTGTAGCGGAGAGAGGATAAACTCAGCTCAGTCTGAGAGCAGATGGTGCGAAAACGGGTAGGTTGCTCTGGTTTGGTGGCCTTCTAGTGAGTGTTTGCAGGGGATTAAACTTGCAGGTTTACAAAAAATGTAGGGTAAGGTGCCTGCCACATCCCTTTCTTTTGTAAAGGGCCTCAGGCGAATACCACAGGGAGGAGAGGCTTTGGGGAGGTGTTGGGGGCGGGAGGAGAGGGCAGAGACGGGGTGAAGAAAAGGGCAAAAGGAGTGGGGAAATGATGCAAGTGGGAGCTGGGCTTCGCTGCAAAGTGAGGCTTGGGAAGGATAAGAGAGGTTGGGAAGGAGAAGACACCGAAGCCATCGCATCCCAGTGGAAGCACAGCGAGGATGGATCGTCACCTGGGTCTGGACAAGAGCCGGGCGGGCTCAGGGGTCCCTCTGTTGATAACATCAACATCTGGTTGGTTTTCCTGACTTTTAGGGGCTTGTGGCTTCTGCATCAAATTAGGCTGAGCCGTTAGGGTATGTCTGTGTCAGCCCTGGGCTGAGAGAGCACAGGCAGCGTCTGCCCATTTGCAGGGATGACATTACCCCTTTCCGGAGCATGGGAACATATTTGGATGCCATGAATTTGTGCTAGTCAGCACTTTGCACTGGGGCATCCTTGCCATCATCCCAGGAAGCTGCCAGACACCCAGTAAGGCTCGGGAGAGGGGAAAAATGGGAAGGTGGTGACCGGAAAGGTGAGGCATGCTCATGGTTTGGGCAGTTTGCAGCAGGCAAAGGGCTCTTCCTACCTGAGGGAAGAAGAAAGCAGAGGATGTGATCTGTGTGCTCGGCGCTCGTCAGCCAGCTCTGGGGAGGAGAGGAAGTGCTGGGGCAGCGGGTACGGATCCGGCCCCTGACGTCTGCCTGTACTGAGGATGCTCTGGGCTGGGTGGCATCCTCTGAAAACATCTGGGTCTGTTCCGTTCCCCCCCAGACGAGGTGCAAGAACGTGAGCAGGGCCAAGAATGGAGAGCAGGTAAGGCAGAGGTGCCAGAGCGTGAAACCCCGTGGTGCTGAGGGTTTTGAAGCTGGTACAGCGCTTCCTCTTCGTCACCCAGCCCAGAGTGGGGCCATGCGAGCTCTGCGCCACAGGGGTCGTTCCTCGTTCCCGGGAAGCTGCCTTTAGGTCCCGTTCTTCCTTAGCAAGTCGGGCTGGCCGTGGGCTGCGGGGACGCCTTGCGTGTCCATCTCAGTTCGGTGGTTTATGTCTTTTGATCGGGATTTGTGCCGCCTGGGGAATCCCGAACAGAAATACGGGAGTGCTGTGTTGGCACAGGAGACGTCCAGAGAGTTGTGCAAATGTAAAGAGAGGAAGCAGCTCGGTTCCTTCTTTTACAGGAATGCTATTTATAGCGTGCTGTGCCCCACGAGTGGTGGGTGACACCCCTGCCACATAGCGGGTGCTTTGCATGGCTGAATTCCTGTCTGCAGTTTCATCTGCCCATGGCAGAGCTGGGAGGTCGTGGGCTTGTGACCTACCCCCATCACAGGGGGTGTGCGCGCTCATCCCTGAGTTTACTCGGCCTCATCACCCTCTGTCAAGTCCAAAAAGGAATCGGATGAGTGTGGAAAAGGAAAGTCTGGGTTTGCCGTGCCGTGGTCGTGGAGGCGTGCCCTGTGCTCTCGGTGATGCCTTGCCGGACTGGGCGCTGAAAACAGCCTTTCCACAATCCTGCCATCTCTCCTAGGACATGAACAACCTGGAGGAAGGGGTGGAATTCCTCCCTGCCATGAACTCCAAGAAGATGGAGAAGCGCGGCCCAAAGCGGCGGGTGGTGGTCACCGTCGTGATTGTTGTTTTCCTTCTCATCTCCCTCGTCACCGGCCTCCTGGTCTGGCACTTCAAATGTGAGTGTGGCATCTGGTGGCGTGCAGGGTGACAGCCTGGGAGCATATCCGCCTGGAAAAGCTTCATTATCCGGGCTCACGCGTGCCCTCTCTAGCTCTGGGAAATGGGGGGACACCGTGTCCACCCCCCTACCCCGATTCCTGTCACTGGGGACCTGCTGTGCCGCGGCCCCAGCCCTGACTGCCCTTTCTGACTCTGAACTGTTGCATTCCAGACCGGAACGTGGCTGTCCGGAAGGTTTTCAATGGCCACCTGCGGGTTCTAAACTGGGATTTCCTCGACGCTTACGAGAATTCCAGCTCGCCAGAGTTCATCATGCTGGCCAGGAAGGTGAAGAGCACGGTAAGAGGTTTTTTGCATCCTTCCTCCTGCTCGCAGGACCTTTTCCTCCATGCCAAAGCTGGGGCTGGTCTTGCCTTTCCCCCCGGACTTGAGTATGGGCTGTGCTTCCCCTGGAGAGGAGCGGGGCGAGCTGAGGCAGAGCATGTGGTGTGC